TCCCGCACAGTGCCAGCAATGCCAAGCCGCTTGCTCCGATCAGCAGCAACCTCAGGTGATCCAGATTGTTCTCCAGCAAAGCATTGCCCAGTCACCACAATGCCAACCCCAATGCGAGTCCAGCTGTGTATCCCAATGCACCCAACAAAGCCAACCCGTAGCATCTTGCCAACCAGCATGCGTCCAGAGCTGCAGCAACTCGTGCCAAGCTGCCGCTTCGCAACCCATCGTCGTCTCCTGCCAGCAATCAACGACCCAGCAATCATCGTGCCAGTGCCAAACTGGATATGCACCATGCGCTAACAACACCCAGTGCTGTCAGCGACGTTAAGCGTCGTACTCGAAACATTTTGTGTGTAAATAGGTTATTTTAAGAGAGAAAATAAACGGATTTTTCAAGTTTTTGTGTACTCACCTTGCTGAAGCCTTGCTTCTTGAACAGGCCGCTATCACGCTTACCATTTCGCGTTTTACAACGATCACATGTGGCTCCTCGAATCACTTCCATGCAAAAATACTTTCTTAACAGTGCCTCGATAGTCACCGGCTGGAAAACAGAAGAAAAATGTTTTTGGTCAAATGACAGCTGAGCCAGTGCAGCTCAAGATCTGTTGAAAGTAACAAAACCGAAAATAAACACTCACAATGCCCATGAACATCTTCGGTATTGTCAAAGAAATCACTCCAAATGTGTCGTACCGCACCTTCTAAAAAGATCGACATAAGATACACAAATTCAACATCCTAGCCGTAAACAAAAAAGTGACCCCAGCTGGAATATGCCCCCCCCCCCTCCCCCAATTAAAAATGCCCATAACATTAGGTATCTCATGTGTTTCCCAAACCCCCGTCGAAAACCGACAAAAGACCAGTTCTCGCTTTGATGACGCACCACCAACACCAACTCTTACCTTGAACCCGCAATTTGTCTGACAGCATCGCAGCTCTGTAGCTGTAAGTCCGAAACAAGGTGCTCGCAACTTCGCTTCCACTCGTACAATATCGACACATCTCAAATTGAAAATTAGGTAACTTTGACTCGACAACTAAAAATGACGTAAAGAACCTGAATAGCATTTTCAGGCCACTCACCTCTTGAAAACGAGCTCTTTTCTGCTTGCTGGAGAACATGGTACGTCTACGGAAGAAGAAGCCGCTACTTGTGATGATGACGAGTCACCTTTCTAAAAAAAAGCACAACGCATTGAAGTCATTATTTAAGAAGTTGATTGAAACAGCAAAAGATCATGTTTCATGCGGGGCTTCTTTTGTGAAGGAAGAGAAGCAGAAATTGGAGAAGACGCCTAGGCTCTGCCATGATTGACAATGCAGTTCTAAAAGCTGTTGAAAAGAAAAAATTAGGCTTTCACAAGTTCGTCAATTTATGGTGCCTATGTAGCAATTATGTCTTGTGTAGTCTGAGTCTATGAACCCGTCCCTGTCACCCAATTACTGACACTGCAATGCACTTTTCACTATTTGCCCCCGAAAACTCGCAAGTATTGGTGCGCCGTTACCCCAATGGGGCGCCCCTACCTTGATTATGGTGATTTCGACATCCCGTCACAATACAAACTGCCCTACTTTCGCTTCCAGGCTGCAATTGGATATTCACCCAGTTCCCCTATGACTCATATCTCATCACACTGGCGCAGTCTTTCCCTACCAAAAAATGGAGTAAAATTCGCGCTAGAAAGTTGATGACCGACGAGTCTAGGACGTGAAGGCGACCCAGTAACTGATAGGCTTTCGCCTGAAGAATCTTGACCGTCACCCTCACTGGACCCTGATCGGCAGGGTGAGATTTATGCGTATGGTTCATAATGTTATCGTTTCCGCATTGACATAGGGCATCTTATATATAAAGCTGAATGTCTGTTTGTCTGTC